ATGACCTCATCCGCACTGAGAGACTTAACAAGTGAGTATTACAAATACGAACTGGAAAGAAAATAATCACAACTAACTGTGGAGCAGAGGTTAAAACACCCTTATCTTGTCCACAATGAAGTCAGGTCCTGCAGCCACCCATTCCATGGATGCCCATAAGAAGAAGCAGCTGTGCTATAAGGGTGTGCATTTATTGCTCTTCCAAAAAAGTCTACACAGGGAACCTCCTGACTGAGGCTCAGGTACATGGGACCAGAGACCTTCCTGCAGGCTGAGCAGATACCTACTTGCCTCGTCAAACTGTTACATCTGACCCTCACAGAGATGACGACGTCTTTGAGCCACAGGCCAGACCCTATGCTTACTATGACCTTGTGTGTGCAATTGCAAGGTTACTCAAAAAACTGTGAGCAACATATGATAACCAAGGAAGAACGTGCAGCAACGTGTGATAACAGCTGCCAGTGGACACTTGCTGGAGATAGATAGATACACACACCATGGTAGTTTTCACACTGTCCTCCAGAGCTCACAGCTTGTCCGTCTTCCTTGTCCTGCCCATGGTTTTATTAGTATTACAGACTGGTTTCTTGGTTTTCTTTTTAGCTGAGGCATCTCTACTGAAAAAAGATCAACAGCAACTGGATTTGAAATGCGAGGGTTTGACAGATGAAGCAAAGAATACAAGCTGGATCCTGAGGTCTGGTTGAACGACATTAGGAATCAGTGTCTTCGAATCAGACGCTTTACTGGGTCAGCCAACTTTGATTCCCTACTGCTGATGGCACTCCTAGCCATAGTTCCTGGGGGAGGGGATGACTGCAAATTGAGATGGTACCAAACTGTTCTTATGGATAGCTGGTATGGTATCTGAACTGGCAGTTACCAGGCATCCCTAATCAGTAGGGCCAGATGAACGCTGTGATATTGAATTCTGCAGCTCCCTAATGCTCAGTTTGATCTCCAGTACCTGTTTGGTTTGATTATCTTCACAAACAGTTTTTTGTTCAGAAACAACGTCTGAGACATGGCCATTCTTGTAAAAAAATCTCTTTTTTAGATAATCCAGGTCAAGAGTGCACATGTAAGAGTTTATTATTTGTTATTTTTTTCCTTCATTATGCTTTTGTTTAAAAAAGCCTCTCATCCACCCAGAGAGCAGCAAAAAATGCTACAAGATTTAAGTGAACCTTGAGACACTGTAGGAAACGAATAGCAAACATCGGAACCATAAAAGCCTGTAAACTAATTAGTGTTCATCAGACTACTCAGTAAAGATTTAAAAATAAAAAACATGCTTGCGCAATTCAGGATCAGATTGCAAAAGATTTCTGATTCTTAAAAAGAGCTATGTTTGCTCATCTGTCTATTTAAAAGAAGCAACCAGATCTGAATGTATGCATTTTTTTGAAAGAATTCATATTGTAATTGTAATTGGAGATACAGAAAATTAATCGATCTGGAAGGCTATTAAATAATTACTCCTTTCTGCTCCTTTGTTATGTGCAAATGCACCTCAAAAAGTATTCACTTTGAACCAAAATACTAAAAATCCCATTGCAAATGCTCTCCAAGTTTGTATGATGAAACTGTAAGGGTTTTTTTGGTTTGGTTTTTTTTTTAGAGTTCCTGAACAACCACAGCTCCCAGTGTTTCTTGAATCTGACTCCATGGAGCCAGATGCCAAGTGTCTGTGGAAGCCTGGCTGCGCAGGGGTCTGCCTCGGCAGGGCTTCAGCCCTGAGTCCTGGGCTCAGATTGCTCCTGGGCACACAGTGGAAGTGAGAGGACTGTGGTCCTACTCCAGCCTTGAGTGCAAGGTGAGCTGAATGATTAAAAAAAAAAAAGAAAGAAGTAATAAAAAAATCCCGTGGGTTTTGTTGTTGTAGGCAAACCCTGACTAGAAGATTCCTAGGACTGTTCATTATCACTAGTGATGTATGACATTGACTGAATCTTGCAGGGCTTGGGTACTGAAAGAGTACAACAATTCTGCTGCCCCAGCATTGTAATACTGTTTAAAGTTTGTCAGATAGGATAGCAACACTTTAGCCATGCAGCATGAAATCTCCCTCAACTGGTCTTGTTTTCTGTCTCTCCCCTTACTCACTCACTGCTTCCAGAGGGACTTCATCCCAGGCTTGAAGCTTCAAGTGCACATAAGCATCCTTCTTCCATACCATCTTGCGGATTCAGGGTACCTAACCCTAGCATAACGTCCTCCAAGTATCAGGACTCACTGAATGCAGCTCTCATCACGTGAGGACTTTGCACCATCCCTGTGTCTCCACTCCTAGAGTCCTAGAGGTGAGTAAGAAACTGTCCCAGCTGAAAGGAGAGCAGGAGAAGGCACATTTGCTATTATTCGCTGTTGTCATATAAAAAAGTCATCCACCACTAGTTAAGGCTGATAGCATCTAAGAGGTATAAGGCCATCTACAATCTATATTTGCAATTTGTTCACCAGCTTTCAGTAAGGGGGTTGCTGTTATTAGGATTTTATTTCCCAAGTGGGAAATATAGTAAAGAAAGAAAATTTAGTCTTCATGTGCCAAATTGGTAACATGTAGGAGATGAAGCCCTTGGGCCAATAGCTGCAGTTTTATCAGATTTATCCAATGAAACATTAATGGGCTAAGCCTTCCTCCAGCCATCTTTCTTCCTTCCTCATGGTGGCAGGTAGGTATTACCAGTCACGTTTTTCTGATGGGAAAATATGCTTGTCTGTTCCTGCAAAGTGAGATAATGGCAGCAGTGGAAAAAATAGCTTAATCCTTCACTCTAGCCCCCATCCAGCACCGCCTTCCCCTAGCATCAGTGCACAGGATGAAATCAATTGAAGGTGCACCAGCGTATTGTATACAAAGCTGTTAGAAGGTGATGTCTTAGAGTGATAGAAACAGAACAGAGCTGCACAACGTTTGCAGCTCTCCAAGAAGAACTAAGATGTGTGTCTTGTCTTGTCTAGGTACACTGATATACATCAGTTGTCTGGCTAAGATCTGTTTCTCCACTTCTCACCTACATCTCTTGAAATCAGGTGGAGTCCCACACGTCATTGAGGAAGGCCTATGAAAACCTTCCAGAGCAAGTATGTCTTCATCCAGAGCATGCTAAAGTGACTGATCAGATTCATGTTGACATAGGTAGCTTTATGTCAGGCCATGAGAACAGAACTGGAGGTAATAGCCCCATCTGTGCACAGTGGCTTTCACCTCTATATTTCATTCCACTCCTGTAAGCAAGCTGAAACCATTATAGGTTTAGTCTCGAGAGAGAGAGAAAATTACTCAAATTTCTCATCTATTACTGTCTCTCTGAAATCTTGCCTCTTCCATAAGATCTGCAATGCCATCATCTGACATGGGAGAGTGGCTGAAGCTCTCCCTGAGCACCACCAATACAGGGAAAAGGAATTTCTGGGCCACGCTGATCTGAAGGAAAAAGAGGAACAACAACTGGGTGATATTACGGCACACTTACACAGCTTCACTGCATGTCTACTTGTGACCAAGAAAACTGGAGGCTTTTGGAATGATGTGGACTTGCATCTTAACATACTTTACTCTTGATAAAGGTGCCAAAGCACCATCTCCCTTTTTTGACTTTTCTCTGTCAGCTGCTTTATGCAAATTCTGACCCTGTTCTGTCTCTCTCCTTCATAACCTCAAGCTGTTTTAGTATGTAATTCCTGTGACTTTCTCACTCAGAGCTTTGTCACTACTAACCTGCATCTTTTTTCCCTTCTGCATTGGCCAGATGATAGAACATATACATGATAGTCTAATGAATTTCGGCTATTAAGACTTCCACAGGAACAGTGCTTCCTTGTACCCTGGGATAACTGCACTACTAGCTAACAGGGTTTTAGACACACCAGGCTGACCTTCAGATGTTCCTGATTGACCCAAAGGTGTAAAATCATCAGTCTACTCTAGCCGACATTGTAAAGAGCATGGTGAACCAACCTGTTTTACAGAACGTGTTGGGTTACGGAGATCCTGTCTGCACTTGGAGGGGACAAAGGTTTTCCAGTTCCTCTTGAAGGGAAGTAACCATGTTTTTGATTTGGTGTTCTTAATAATAGTAGATAGTGGCATACTTGAGAAGAACATGATCCTGATGCCTGAAGTACTGCTACTGATCCTGACTGATACTGTTTATACTAGTGAGAACAATGTTTTCATCAATGGTTAAAGGATCCTGGACAAAGAATGATGGAACCAGAAGTGGGATGTATTATTTCATAACTCACATTTTATTCAATTGAGGACCTACTTGAGGGGACAAGTCATGGTGTGTTTGGCATGACACACGGAAGAACTCTAAGTGCAGACACAACCTACAGGTTCTGCTACTGCTCAAAAGCAGCTCAGATCCCACTCTGAACCTCCACACCTCTGCTCTAGAAAGCTGACATGAATCTCATGGTCAACACAAACCAGACTATTGAATTTCTCTCTTGCTACCTGTTTGATATGAGCAACTGTGGAATGGCCTTGGACTTTTGACTGCAGCAGGGAGAACACTCTGAGTTTTGCTCTCTTTTCAACAGGTGCAGGCTTCAAGTCCTTGAAAAACAAATGGTCATTTGCTTTCCTGGTCACCTCTCGCTCAGTTTTGTTCTTGCTGTCATTAGAAACGGCACAAAAACTAGTGAAGGAGAAGGGCTGAAAATAGGGTTCCCTTTCTAACCAAAAAGTTTTTGATGAGCTAACAATGTAAGTAAGTGCAAATCTCAGCTGTGCTGGTCCCGTGACATCACAAACCTTAGGCATAGCAAGTAGCATTCTTGAATGCATCAAAATCTTGTCTTTTAGCATTTAATGCGAGACATTACAAACTAATGAAGAGGAGAAATGTATGCAGTGTTGCTGTAAACCAAATATACAGATGTAAAATAATTAAGAATAAACTGTTCCATAAAAATGCATGTCAATAAAACCCAGTCTGATAAAGTGATTTATGAATAATTTTCTAGAATTACTAAAAAGAATGATTTCTCGTTTGAGGCTCTGGAAGTCTTGAGTCACATTATTTTTTCTTTTAAAAAAATGTCTTAAAACACATGGCTTTACAGCTGCTGCTTGGAAAATATACACCTCCAAAGTCTGACTTTCATTTAAATACAAATGTACAAAATGTAAACTGAGACAATAGAGAAATTTACAAAACTTTTCTTTAAAAATAATAAAGACAAAATTCAGTTCTAGTATGATGCTATTTAAATACGTGCAAGTAGTCATGTTCATTGAATTCTATTGCAATGTTCTAAATAGACAAATTTGATTCACACAGTCTTGAGTGCCACCTCCAGAAACAGACCTGAGTGGAAAATTCTTCTTAAAATGCGAGGCTCCACTGGAAGGAATGGATAGAAAATCTCCATTTTGGGGAGATCCTTTTTTTTTCACTCAACGGTGGAGGCTCTCTCATCCATAGAAGCTCCATAGATTATAGTGGAAGGATGCAACATGTTGTTTCATAAAACTGAGTTGGAACTAGCTGCTTCCAGTGGAGTTTGAACTTAAGTGATTTGAATTTAGGTGGTGATTTAAACTGGCCTTTGAATTTGGAGAACTCTTTGAATTGTTCTGATGCTGTAGAAAGAGGAAGACAATTAACAATTAGATTCCCAAAACATGCCATGCTTTCTTTTAGGCCAACATTGTCCATTTTATGTGACAACATACTGACTGAACTGCAAGATTTTTGTTTGAAGGTCTGTGGATGTAAAATATTCTTCACTTTCTTACCTGTATTCTCTCTAGGTCAGGAGGACCATGGCAGTTCTTGAGGAATGCAGCAAAGACTCACTCGAGCTCCAGGAGTCAAATCAATTCACTGCAAAATGTTGGTATCTGCTAAATCTGACTAATACAGAGGATGCCTGCCAATGCTCAGGCATGGTTTTAACCCTACAGAAATATATCGGTCTAAGAATTTTATTGGTGCCTCATGAAAGCCATAATCACATATTATCTGGTCTGCTCTCTTCTCTAGTGTCTTGCTTTCCTGCCATGACTACCTCACTCAACATGTGCATTTCCTTTTTTTCTAACACACACATCAAGGGTTTTCACAAGGAACTTATCAAAACCATATAACCATTTCAAAGGGCATTTCAGCATACCACTGAAAAATAGTTTGAGTAAGAAGTTTTCAACCACTGGAAACAAAGCTGATGAAAAACACTGGAAGTTCTGGTGGTAAAAAAATTGCAAGAGGTAGATGGGAAACCTGGGACAGGCAGTATTAGTCAGGAAATTACCAGGTAAATGTGACAGCAAGTCCTCTCTAAGACACACTTCTTTCTCCTACAAAAATATTACCAGAACACAGCTGTGACACCGGGCATCTATGGGAGGTTCCTTGTCTTCGTCATAAAAGATCTCACCTGTCGTTTAAATATTCTCTGTAGCAATCCTTTCTTGGGTGGCTCTGGGGGGTAGCTTTTGTTTAGGTCTGGTGAAATAGTACCATTTGGTCCAAATACATTCAGTTCTTTGAAACACTCTGTTTCTATCATCTAGTGGAACACAATAAGAAAGAAAAAAAGAAATTATACATCTGCATTAAATATATTCCAGTAGTGCTAGGCTGTTCAAAGTCAGGATCAGGACCAGCAGCTTGAGCAATGTGTCAGGAGAGATACCAGTTG